GGGGGGGGGGGGGGGGGGGGGGGGGGGGGGGGGGGGGGAGGGATACAACACAGGCTCCTCGCCAGCACGGTAACGTCATGACTACAGTGAGGTGGCCAATGAGAGATCATACAGCGCAGCTATCCCTTCGATCACGCCATTATGATAGGTGACGCAAGATACCACACCTCCTTGACCGATCTTCAAAGCTCGACTACTCCACGACGAAGAGGATGCACAAATCATGTGACACGTTTTCGGCTAGCTCTCGAAGAGACACTTCCAACACCGCCATTCTGCGGCAACCGGCACTGTTGTTGATTTAGAGCAATCGAACTTCAGTAATCGGTCTGGGGGGAGTGGTGCCTTGCGTTACCTACGTACCCCTCCAACGGAGAGGTCCTCCCACGATTCAATCAGCAACGGCATGACAACGCCAACTTTAGACACTGCATATACATACCTTCTTCCACATGATCGATCGCCCGATGGGCGTGTCCTCGATGATCTTGTTCATCAGTGCTTTCGGCTTCCGCTTGGACTTCAAGCTGCCTTCGGCCAGCGACGCGGCAGCCTCCACGGCCACCGCCTCCAGCGAAGCCGGGTCGACCAGCTGGTCTACGAGTCCCATCTTCAGCGCCTTGTGCGGCCGAATGTTTTTGCCTTAGACCAAGAACAGGTAGGAAATTTGGGCGGGGTTCCAGGGGTGAAGCGGTGAAAGGGGACAAGCTTAGATTCGGGGGTGGACGCCAGGTTTGCACCAAGGAGCACACATCAGACATGAGCTGTTGAAGTCCGCGTGCCGGTTGCGACGGCACGGACGGCTTCAAGTCGCGGGGTGGGTAGTTAGGTCGAAGCATGGAGGGTTTGGAGGTAACCGAGGCGTGCGCCCGGTGGGGAAACATTTTACTCCTATATGCACACATTTGGCTTTCAAAACATCACCAATGGGTCATTCAAAGCGTCTATGAGCAGCCCACCACATTTCTGTTCGCCTTGCTGCCTACAAGACATTGTGGGCCACTGCCATAAGTGCAGCAGCGTTCGGTAGCTCACCAGTAAGAATCATGTCGAGGGCAGCCTGAAGCCCAACCAGCGGGTGAAGAAGCTGCGTCCCTCCCCACCCCGGCAGGAGGCCTAGCTTCACCTGACATTGTCCGTTCACGCGACAGAGGATTCCAACGGAAAAGCGGAAAAGGACTATCAGAACAGCGCGCGATAGGGGTATCAACAACGAAAAAAAGGACTCCAATATCTCAATTCGATCCCGCAGAACCAAGAGGGGGGCACGCGGCGGAGATGTGCGAGAAGAACCTCGCCACAAATCAGCTGTGACGGGAACATTGGATGGTTTCCCCCGAGAGATAAGACACAATGCAAGCCAACTCACATGATCCTCTACAGCTGCCGATTCCGAGCACCCTACACCTTCCTCCATTCACCCCGACCTCCTCATATCGCAACAAACACTTGAAAAAAAGCAAGCATACACACGCTATGAAGAACACCACAGGCACATTTGGCAGCAATGCAACAATGTTGTGGATCGAGCCTCACCTCTGGCAGGCCCAGGACAGTCTTGGGGCTCGTGGTCGCCAGGCGGTAGTCGCAGTGCAGGGCCCACTCCAATCCCCCGCCGAGGCACGCCCCGTTGATCGCCGCGATCACGGGAATGCCCTTCTTTGCCAGGATGTCGAAGGTCGCGTGCCCGTCCATACAGATCTGTTCCCCCGACCGGGTGCGGTAGGAAGGAAGTTGGGTGAAACGCGGTCGGTTGCTGGAGGCGGCGAACGCCATCGTGGGTGTGGGAGAGTGAGCTACAAACTGCTGCCACAGACGTGCCGTTCAACCACCAGCAGTGTTCGGGTCTCCGGCGGGTTACAAAGCCCCAAGACTTGGTTGGTACCTCGCCTCGTTCGCAAACCGAGCCCCCAACTGACTGCCGCCGCACCTGCTTCAGGTCCGCCTTGTCCTCGGTGGCGCTGATCATCCGGATGTCGGCGCCGGCGATGTAGTTGTCGGGCTTGCCCGAGATGAAAACAACGGCCTTGACGGACGGATCGTCCGCGATCTGTCCGGACCAGATGTCCTCAATCTCTTGCCGGAAGTCGCCGGAGATGGTATTCATCTTTTCGGGCCCGTCGATCCTGACGTCGCGCGTGGCATCAAAAGCGGGGGATGTGGAGCACGACGAGATAATGTGATTTGTCCACATTGTTTGTCTTTCGTAGCACAGTATTTTCGGCGCCATTGATACGCATGGATCGTGGAAACTCTGATTCGGCGTGGCTACAATTTTTGCTCACAGGTACAGCAGTACTTATACGGCGAAAAATGCTGAGGTCGTGAATCCGCAAAACGCACTTACATGAGAAGCGAAGGCATCCGTCGGACACACGGCAAGGCACAGATACACAACCGTCGCGTGTCGGGAACAAACTGGCCACAACGGGAAGCGTCGCGAAAAACTCTTTTGTCCGGGGTGAAAACCTCGATTGAAGCCGCGCAATCCCAACGATACCGAAGTGATCAGCGGCACAAGTACCACCACACCAGCAACTACGACGCCGGCGTAGTCAAGCGCGGACAGTCCATCGCCGCCGCCGCACGGGAGCCTCACGTTGCGATTGCCCGCCCGACGATCTGGGCCTCATGGAACCCGAGCCAAAGACCAGATATGGGAGGTGGGTGCCGCTATCGGAGCGGCGGCTATGGATGCCATGTCGAGGGTGAGAGGGGGCAAGTCAGTTTTTTCATGGTCCCGGCGATCCACGCGAAAAACACCACCGAAACGTGAGGGTGCATCCGTCGCCCGTTCATTGAGTTCTTCGTTGAACGAGTCCCCAGGCGTGGAGACGGCCTTCTGAGTTGTGGAAATGCTGCGGGGTTGCAGAAAATGTGCGCGGAATCCCCCACCCGCGTGGGCTGGCAATCCTCAAGGCGGGTCGGGAATTCCGTGCGTACTTCCTTCAACCCCGCAGCCCTTTCACTGTTCAGAAGCTCGTCTCCACGCCTGGGGACTCGTTCAACCGAGACCTCAAACGAACGGGCGACGGATGCACCCTCAGCTCGCGGGGCGTGGTTCGCCCGGGTCATGAAATTTATTGACTTTGTTAGCCCCTCCCACCCTCGGCATGGTATCGATAGCCGCCGCTCCGATAGCGGCACCCACCTTCCGTAGCTAGTTTATGGCTGGGGTTCCTCGAACGTTCGAGTGGTCGCGACGCGAGGCTCCCGTACGTTGGCGGCGAATGACTAACCGCACCAACAAAATACCCCGTTTTAGAAAATACTTCAAACAGAGAAATGCTATTGCCAGTTCGAGATATAACCAAACAAAGTCAAGGGCATGTGTTGACTCTTTACTGCTGTGAGTGGGAGAATAACCGGTTGGCTTGTTTCGAGTCTGTTGAAGCCAATACAATAAAAAGATCCCAGCTGGTGCTAAGCACAAAAACATGTTAATAGGTTGACACATATTATACTACAGCAGTTGCGTCGCCTTTAGTTCATGTATGTAGTCTAGTTCTCTATGGGTCACGATATAAACTTCGACTCCTGTGGGTATATCCTAAACGGGTATGTAGTCTTTCTCCGTTTTGCTTACTTTTCCAAAAATATCGGGGAGAGGCTCTCTGGTACGCATGTCGTGTGTTACAAAATGCAACCTTCTCAGGGACACTCGCAGACAGCCGATTCAAAGCACACATGGTACTCCCCACCGTGCCCACCAATCCTTGCTGGACGGGCGAGAAACGGACTGCTGTGCCAGTGCAAATCGGCAAATAGTGGTAACCTACAACAGCCGTACATTAGGTTGTACACTCTGGACTGGACAGGTGATGCAACAGCAGAGTCAGCACATGGTCATGATGTCATGATCATGATCGTTTGGATAGACTTTAGATACAACTCGAGCACATTGTCTACATTTCGTGCCGGTTCAACGACAACACGCGACATCATCAACACAACGCAAGTTCAACGTTCTCTCGCTCGTCCTTCAACCTTCACAACAAAAAAGTCGAAACTACAGCCGTACAGACACGACCAAACCCGCAACAACAGCCCAACGTAGCGTGTGCAAGCCTAGCTAGAGTTTCACGCACAATGGTCGTTGCCATTGCGTACCTGATGATTGCAACTCCGTTGTCCAGTTTCTCCACCGGCTGGAAAAACCTGGGCGATTTGTCGGAGGTGCTTTCCACCGAGGCCGGATCCTCCATCGGCATCGCGGACGCGAGCCCTCGTGAGGGCGTCGAGGCTGCCGCCAGACGCGCATACAGCACGGAAGCGGCAGGCCTTGCGTGCAGCCGTGCTATCTGCGTCAGCCTCGCATTGCCGCTGCCGGTGGTACGGCTTGACGCCAGGGCGTAGCGTCTGCTGAGGGCCAAACTCGTTGAAGTTCCGCCAGTGCGAATTGCACGGCGGAATGACATGCTGCTGCTGCTGCTGCTGCTGCTACCTGCTGGTGCTTTGCTATGTGCTTGCTTTGCCGGTATTGCTCGGATTCTGTGCAAGAGTAAACACACGGGCACGGTGTTTATAGGGGTTGTTGGAAGGGGGGAACAAGGGGAGGGTGGGACTGCTGGTTGGAACACACAAGGTGGCGGAGAGATTGCGCACAACGCTCTCCCTACAGCAAAACAGGGAGGGAGGAAAGGCCTCCCGGCCTCTGCGTGAAAACCCCATCGGTTACGTTTGTTCCAATTGCGCCGCATTTTACTCGGCGTCTCCGCATCCCCTACACCTCCTTTCATATCATGCCCATGTTGCGATACACACAGCAGCGCTGTGAGGTATAATGGAGGCAGATTTCTGTACGTAGTGTCTGCAGAGATCAACAATGAACAGGGGCGGCGGGATACGGACCAGACGACCAGACACACCGATAACATCAGCGCAACAACGTCCGGAGGACATGCGACACAAATCAATCACGATCGCGGTGCCTTGATTGGCTGGCGGCGAGCAGACAACAGCAGCAGCATCCCCACCGCCAGCAAAAAAACAGCAAATTAACTGCCGTGCTCTGTTTCAGAGATTATGGAGCGTTCCTGCCGCAATGGCAGCAATGTTGAGGAGAGTGACGACGAGGATGTGAAACACGTAGCATTCCTGAGAGCAAGGGTTGTCGAAGCGGCTCGCGAGGGAGATACGCCAGAGATAAAGTACCTGATGGGCATCACGGCGGCCAAAAGGCTCCTGGCTGCCACTGATGAGGTGACTTAATTACTTCTGAAATAGGCAGTCCCAGAAGAGAAATACTTGTGGATGCTGATGAAACGTACATAGGCGCTTGTGCTTTCCCCTGAACTGAAGAAAACGTTGCCCACGTGTGTGTAGCACTCTACTTACAGCCTGTCGACTCTCCACTGGTGGCCAGAGGGGCAGGTTGGGCCCCATCCACAATCTGGGGGGGGGGTTGGGAGGCCGATTTTGACCTTGAACCCATGTTTTCTTCAGGCTTGCAGCCAACGGTGTTGATTAGAATAACGCCACTACCCGAGACGCGGGAAAACTTGCACGCTTTGCGGTGCAACCTCAGTGCAACCTCCCTCCCCCAGGTTGTAGTCTAGCCGGTGACCCAACCTACATCTTCTCGAAGCAAGCGCAGACTTGATCCAATTTCACCCTTTCACCCCCAATCGTGAGACTAAGGGACTCAAGCATTGATTGACATGTATGCAAGGTACTTCGTATATAATATTTACATGTACTGCATACGTCTAAGAACAATATAAAGTCGACCTTGCGTGCCGGAAATGGTGGTCGCTTGTGTCTGCAAACCGCAACAACGCGGTCAGAGCTCGCGGTGGGGCTTGCTACACTTCAGCTGCAGCCGGGGCTTTCTGGATATCACGACTTTGTTGCTGGAAGCGGGAGCTAAAGCTCTGAAAACGGTCGATATGGTGAGGCGACGAAGTTGGGGTTCAAGAACATGCGACTACCGTGGGCGTTTACCCAAAAGGCAGAGATAGATCCGTGTTCCACATGTCGTGCTAAATAATAGGGGAATGCTTCGGTACGACCCCAGACCGGAGAACTCTCCAGCTTTTTCTGGAGGCAAGACCGTAGGTTAGCCAGAAACTGAAAGCGACAGTGATAACTTATTGGTCGCCTAGAACACCATGCAGTTGTATTTATCTCTCCAGATTATCTGTCCATGACATTTTGTACAGCTCACGTGAATTCTATGGTCAAAAGTTCGATGGCAAGTACGGGGAACACAAGCAAGTGTTCGGGAGAACAGAAGGTACAAAAAAAATTGGTTGAGAATAAGTGGAAATTTAGAGGGTCTGCGATGTTGGCGACGTAGACGGCGCACTACATGTAGACTCTACCGAAACAATTGGTAATTGTCGAACCGAGGCCCCTCTTGCTCGTGTTACCTTGAAACATTGCCAGCACGGCAAAACCTGCCTCCATGTCGCTATTGAGCACGACTGCAGGGACGTCATAGAGCTCCTGCTGGACTGGTGAGGAAAACTCCGATTTTTTTTGGTGAATCTGTTGCAAAGAGAATTTCCTTATTGAATGAGCTACGTGATGTAATTCGAGCTCAACGAATGACCACGCAGAATGCGGTGGCATGGGCAAGTGAGAGGGGCAAAACCCTCCTAATTCGAAGATAACACATACCCGCTGTAGATACTTTGATGATTCGCGATGACATCTAGGTTATACTCAAGACCGCCTCGGAGGCATTGCTCCACGAGGCGCTATTCTCGAGACAGATTAGCACTCTGCCATCCATGTTTATGTGCGGGACAAAATCTGGGAAAAGAACTTCACCCACAAGGCAGTAGTTCAGCCCAGACACTTGGTTTCGCGCGTTCAACTGTTGCAGGCACCCGGTTTGTGACTGGCCACGACGAGCAAAGCTCACGCTGGGCCAGACGGCCGCGCGAGCAGGAGGTCACGCCACCATGCAGCTGCTCCTGCGAAACGGTCTGGATCCAAACGAGAAAGGGATAAGGAGAGAAACACCCCTGCACCAAGCGGCTAGGTGGGACCGACACAGACCACAGCTCCAGTTGTTTGACGCAAATGCATACGCATTATCGGGTCATGCACGACAGAACTACGACCATGGTCCGCGTATCGATTGGGCAGACGAAAGGACAAGAAAGTATGTTCCATTTTTTAACCCAGTTTGAGGGCAAAAACGTTGCTGGCAGCGTGTTTTGAATTATTGTCATGGCCGGCCGTTGTGGATATCGTCTTAGATACCCTTGAAAAGTGGGCAAGGCTGTGCCTCTCGATGTTACTCGAGATGGTTGGCACCGCGAGCGGTTGAAGAGCAGAAGTAGGAGTATTTCTTGTGCTGTGTAGAGACGTGAAGATATGTTGGACACTGGTGCTTAGTTGGTCAACACACGCAG